GTACTGAGCCCCTACCACCCGTGCGGAAGACCCAGAGGAAGCTCCTGGCTCCTGGCTTCAGCTGGGTTAGCCCTGGTGGTTGTGGTCCAGGCGAGCCAGTGAATGGAGGATCTTTCCCCCTCCCTTCCCTGATAACTCTGCCTTTAAAATAAATAAACAAATCTTTAAAAATATTAAATTTAAAAAAGAAAAGAAAAGCTTGTACAATAAGGAGCCATGAATGCCAAGCTACAGGGTTTGTATTTAATTTTCTAAGAGGTTAAAAATGCTTAACCCTGGGAATGAAGATACCATTTTTAGTAAATACATTTTATTATGTGTATTTACGGTCTATAACATGATATTACAAGATAGAGAGTGAAATGCCTACTATACCTGAATGAACATATCTATCTGCTCCTTTAGTTACCCACTTTCCCCCACCTGTGGCAACATCAGCTGTAATGTATTCAATAAAAATCCTGAGTACGGTATTAAGTATAGCCCTCATATTGTATACTGATCAAATCTTTTGACTTGTACGACCTAAATATTTTCTATTGTGTAGGTTTTGCCTCACATTTCCCCTTTTCCTCCCTCTCACCTTGACCTGGCAACCAAGAGTTTTCACATGTATTGGTAGAGGATGATAATTAACATTGGTGTAAACAGTTAATAGGTTCTGCCAAGAATTTGCTCTCCATTCTGTGTATGGTAAATATCAGCCCAAATAATTATGAAATGTAGTTGACAGAAAGGCAATCAAGACTGCTTAGTCTAAAAAAAATAAAGAAAAAGTCAAAAAAAAAGACTTCTTAGCATGAGGAGAGGTTGGGTCTATGCTTCAAAAATGAACCAACGGAAAAAGGAAGACCTTTCTGTCTGTCTCTCTCTCACTAACTCTGCCTGTCCAAAAAAAAAAAAAAAAAAAAAAAAAAAAGAACTATCCCCCCAAATCCTACATTTATTTTATTTTCTTGGTTATATGTCCTTCAAAAGTAGCCTTTTCTATTAGAATACATGTTCTAACATGATTTTTACTTTTTTATGTCAACTCAACCAAAGAGTAATTGTTATTTAATTAAATTAATGTTCATTCCTTGTTATCAAATATAATGCACCATCTTCCATTTTGATTTCATTAGAGATCTAAATATTTAAGGAATTTGATCTTTTCTATTCTTCCATTGCTTTATTCTTTCAGATATGAAAGAGAATCTACTATCAATGACCATTTTTACACATATTATGCTTTAAGAAAAGAAAGAATTATATAGGTAAGTAATCATCTTCTATGAAAACTTTCTATAGGTTCAGAAAAGGGCTGATGCATTCTCATAGCTTTCTAAAGTATAAATATAAAAAATTCATGAATTTTATACCAATATATGATGGGCAAAAATCAAAGAATGACTCATTCCTAAAAATGCCAATGGAATTGAAACGTTAATCCAAAAGAAGATAGGAAGGACTGTTATGTGCAATGATTTGAAGACTGCAAGCTGAGATAAAATTAAATTAGATACACAGTTGGTTGACATCCTACAAGGCAATAAAACTATAACCTTGGGGTTGGCACTATGGTGTAGCACACAAAACGACCATTTGTGGCGCCAGAATCAAATATGAGCGCCCAGCTGCTCCACTTCTGATTTAGAGCCCTGTTAATATGCCTGGGAAAGTAGCAGAAGGTGGTCCAAGTCCTTGAGCTGCTGCACCCATGTGAGAGACCCAGAAGTAGCACCTGGCTGCTGGCTTCAGACAGGCCCAGCACCAGCCATTGAGGCCATTTGGGGAGTGAACCAGTGGATGGAATATCTCTCTATGTTTCTCTCTCTCTCACACTCTCTCTTTTCCTTCCTCCTCCATCTCTCCCTTCCTCTCTCTCTCTAACTCTGCCTTTCAAATACACAAACTATAATTTCTTGGATTATGTTTTCTACTAGACAAAAACCATCTGTACTGGTAGGCATTGTGGCACAATGGACTTGGAACACCTGCATCCCATATTGGAGTGGCTTGTATAGACTCCTCTTTATTAATATAAAGAAACAGATTTCATGTATTTCATAGCTATAGTTCTAAAAGATAACCATATTTCCCTCCCTCTCTCCATCAATCCCCCTCCTTCCTTCCTTTTGTTTTTCCTTTACATTTTGCAATAACATACTTTCAACTCACTTTAAAACCACAGGCTTAATACACCACTAACCACAATGTTCAACAAGTAAAAAAGTAGAGACTTTTTCATGGGAATACAGACACGCTCTGGCTTATGCTCTCATTCTTGCTCTTGTTCTCCCCTCTCTCCTTTTGTTCCCTCCTTCTTGCTCTGCCTCTCAAAAAATAAAAATAAATAAATGAAATTTAAAATATCATTTGTGTTATCCCTGCACAAAAATCATTCACTACACATCCAATTTTTCTTTATAATCTAATGTGCACTTCTAGAGTTTCCGTCTAACCAATAAATAAGTTTAAAATGCATTTTTTGAGTAGTCTTTGAAAGAGACTATCAGATAATGTTCCATTTTATCATTCAAAGGGCATGTGGTCATTCATTTGCCTTATTTGCAAGATTGAGATAGTATTTCTTAATACCCTCCACCCCATAAAGAAAATAGTTAATGCTTAGACTAACAAAATGTCTTTGTACTTCGTTTGCTCCTCATTTAGTTCTCAAAATCAGTATCAACTAGCATAAAGCATAAGCCTTTTTATGAAGCTGGGTATTTCCTTAGAAATGTTCTTGTGAGAAAAAACTTCAAAAAGCATTTGAATATTTTGGAGGCTATTGCTGAACATACCCAGACACAGTTCTTAAAGGTCACGTGTCAGTGAGTACTGCTCAGGTAGAGTTATATACTGTGGCAATGATACTGTCCGAGTTTAACATCATCATCTTAAAATTCAGCCCATTTGTAGATGCAAAAGAGAATCTCCTTTCAGTTTCACCTTACAGCACTTGGTTACTAGAGATGGTGACTTTTTAAACACAGTTTTATGATTTTCTTTTAAATATGTTCTTTTGATTATTTTCATTTAGGTTTTAGCACCCACATTTTTTATTCCTTTCAGTTTTCAATATCTGAGGAACATTAAACCATTTGTGTCTTTCTCCAGCTTTATTGAGGTATAATTGACAAATAAAAACTGCACATGTTTAATGTGGACAAACCTCTTTGTATTTAATTCTTGTACATCAGAGACCTTGACATGAAAACTATTAATAGGTTATTTTATATGAGTAATAACATCCTAAATGAAACTCATTTGTGATAACTTGAAACTCAACATAAGATTATGCTAGTAAAAAAGATAATATTGTTTCCTCTTTTTCCATTAAATTCTTTTATGGAAAAGTGCAATACACAAAAATATGTAGTATTATTAAGAAAATCAAAACTATGGGAAACAGAGATATTTGTAAATGTAAAATTTTCGCAAACTGATTTCGATCATTGTAGTAAGTAAGTAGCGTAGCTTTAAGGGATTATAGTGAACAGGTTAGAATAACTGGGAAAACTTCCATAATATTTTAAATCTTATTTTTTGGTGATATGCTAGCAAAATAAAATCAAGAACTCTAACATAAATATTCACAAGTTTAGTTAATTTATGTTGCACTTAAAGTACATATATTGTATATATAGTACATAAAGCATATATGTGTACTCTTACAGTTTGGTATATATGTTTATAAATATGAAACATGCTATTACTAACTTTGCTGTTTTAAAGATTTTTCTGTTACCACTGACAACAAATCCATTTTAGGCCATGTATTTTTTTCAACTTTGATTTAATAAATATAAATTTCCAAAGTACAACTTTTGGATTATAGCAGCTTTTTCCCCCATAACCTCCCTCCCACCCGCAACCATCCCATCTCCCACTCTCTCTCCCATCCAATTACGCTGTCTTCCAGAATTATAAAAAAGGCTTTCAACTTAAAAAGATTTGGAAGAATAAATAGAGATATTATATACAATTTATAAAATTATCAAGACAAAAATGACAGACTTTACATCCATCATAAAATAATATATAAAACACACAGAGGAGGAATAGAGAAGGGCTACAGTAAACACAGAGGAACATGATTCTTCTGAGTGCAGTCGTCCCGGATACAACAGTTCGTTAAGTGCGTGCACACACTTGCGAGGTCACACTAGTGGGCTGTTCCCACGCAGAGCGTGAGCCTCACGCTCTGTGCCTGCGCCCAGCGCCCCGCCAGCCCGCAGCCTTTCGGTTGCTTTCCCGCCCCCTCGTCATCCACCGCAGCAGGAGCGCCACACTAGAAGCCTGGCGGGGTATGGGGTGGGAATGCCTGAGAGGAAACAGCGCCCTGGGAACAGTCCCAGAACCTCCCGCCCTCGACAGGGCTTCCCGCGGGGCCGCCTCCACCCGGAGCCCTCCCGGGAAGCCCGCCCACCCCTCGACCCCAGCGCACACTGGACTCCCACACTTGAGGGGCGGGAGCAAATCAATCAGTTTCCGTCCGAAACTCCGGGGGACCGTCCGGGCCCTGTAAGAAGCAGAGGAGGCAGGGGTCGGGGTGTCCCGCCGGGAGAGAGTCCGGCACAAACCGGCGCTGGTCTTGGCGCGGGCTGCTGTGATCCGTCAGCCGCGGAACCCTCTGGCCCCCTCCACTTCTGGAAGATGAACCTGGAAGTGTGGAGGAGGGGAGTGGAAGGCCATTCTTAGAATCCTGAGCTCAGGGGCTTCCAATCTCCAGTGGTCTCTCAGTTCACTTGGTCCGGGGGCTGCAGCTTCGCGCCTCCCTAAACCAGTCGGAAAGCTCGGGCACCCAAGGCAGGGGATTTTTGTGTGGAGTCGATAAGGCAAAGTGTTCTTGGCCCTCACTCATGCTTTGCCACGATCAGATTACTTTTCCCAGACTGGAGCTGGCTGGGAGGTTGAGGGGTATTTCTTTTCAATCCTTTTATGTGTGTTGAGTTCACCTTGTGTGGTTGGGTGTGGAAAGCGGGGGGGGGGGGGGGGGGGTGTGTTTCCAAATTGAGTGAAATTCTCATTCCATGGGTATTACCATGCCTGTGGGGTTGGCAGTTCTTAAAGTTTAGCTAGTCTGCAAATAACTCAACACAATAGAGTCCCCCCCTCCCTTCCTCTCTCTCTCTCTTTTTTTTTCTTTTCCTGCTTCCAAACGCCTTCTTGGAGGCTGAAGCTGGGCAGGTCTCCAAAGGTGCAGCAGCCACAACAATCCCGCAGTTCAAAGTTAAGCAGCAGTTGCACAACTTCCAGCAACTCTCTCAGCCGGCTGCTAATGAGCTGAAACCCCTGAACATCTGAGGAGGTGAGGAGGGAGCTCCAGTCCTTCTTCCTTCGCCCCAGAAATCCAGAAAAACCCAGCTCCCACAGCCCTGGCCACTTGGAGATTCTGTACCTGTTGCTGACTCGCCTGGTAGACCATGGCTCCCTTTGGAAAAAACTTGCTAAAGACTCGGCATAAAAACAGGTAAAGTCGAGTGTGTGTGTGTGTGTGTGTGTGTGTGTGTGTGTTTGTGTGTGTGGGGGTGTTTAATCCGGTCTTTGGAGGGACAAAATCCTAGGGACATTAGGTCCAGTATGACACTGTCCCAGTGTTGATGATGGCATCGGACAGAAGACAATAAAGAATGATTGTTTTCGACTCTTGCCCTCCACCCCACCTTTGGCTAGTCCTGTTTCCATAAGTAGCGTGGCCAGTGATTTCTCTTTTTGCTGCCCTGGGCATCTGAGGGAAATAGGATGACAGGCTTCATGTTGCTTCAGACAAGACTTTAGAATGCAGTAGAAAGGTTTGACACTTTGATAAAGATGTAACTAGAATTGAGAAGCACTCATTGGAATAAAGAAACGCAGGTACTGATAGAATCTGGAAACCGTGCTTTGGTTCCCCTGAGACTGGGAGGTGGAAAGTTCCCAAGTGAAAATACTTTGCAGAGAACTTTATGTGAACTGATTCTTTCGACGGTAGTTTTGGGCACTAAACGAGAATTCCAACAGCTGTCCTCCCTAATTCTCATTACTGCTAGTTCACTCTGATTGAGTTTGATATGTCAAGTCTGCAAGGTCCATAAGACAAATAAATATACTTATCTCTCTCTCTCTCTCACACACACACACACCACACACACACACACACACAGATTTTCTTCAGCTTATGTGTGTGTCTTAGTTCCATTAAATATTTTATTTGCACTTCAAGTGTTATGTTTTTATGCCAAAAAATGTGAGGGTAATTTTAGGCATGGGCTTTATTTTTTTGAATGTGTTTGTTTTGATATAGGGGCTTTTCCACTGATCTTCTCTCAATCTTGCCTGTTTGTACTTGTCATAATTTGCTTAGTGTAAATTTAAAAGGATACAATTACATGGTAGGAAATGATATAATTATTTTAAAGTGTTGGCATGACAATATAGAGGGATACAACTTTAAATTTCCATACCTTAGTGTGTGCACAAATGTCTACTTCAAAAATTGTACTTCATTCATGCCATATGCATCATGATTTAGTTAAGTTTCTATGAAAAAACAGCCATGGTAAATACTGTAAAACTTTATTTTATTTCCTAGTAACTTGATATTTTATCATAAATAGATATTTATAAATTTTAGTCATACTATGTATGTTAAAGTAATTTGGGTATGTAAAAAACATTGTGTGATGTTTATCAGAACTGGGTTTTTGTTTTAAATGTGTATTTTTCTGGAAGTGTCCCCCACCAACAAAAAATCCTGACTGTATTTTCAGTGCTGTTCTGTAGTACTACTTTTGTAGCATTATGTTGGCATTTGTATTTTGGAAAAGCACATGATTTTATAAAACAAGTGTGTTTCTGGCATACTACCTTGTAGTGGAAGCTATTTGGGGATTTTTGTTCCAATAGAAGAATTCGTCCACAGTGTGCCAGATACAGCCCAATAAAACATTGCAAGCCCCTGTGAGTTTCACTTGGGGAAGTACATTGCCCACTTTCTTTAGTTTTGCTACTGCACCATCTACTCTATTCAGAAAACTAACTTTCATTCAAGGAGGTGAGTCTACAAACATTTTTAATATGACATTTTCTGTGGAAAATTATGAAGGAGTTGAAAGAATAGTTAAAAATAGAGTTTCATAGTATTCCCAATTACTCTGAAAAATGGAATAGTGCTTCCCAAAGTGATGTCTTATCAATAATGCAGGTGCTTTGGCAAAGATGTAAACAGTTGAGAAAGTGCTTAAGCCATTCTAATTGGGTGCTTCCCTTTACAGATTTATATTTTTCTAATCCTTAAGAAAAAAATTAAACCATAGCAGTGGTTGAATAAGAGAAAAAAAATGAGTACCATAAGTTAGGTAGTGAGTAAGTTACAGTCTATTGAAATAGAAGTAGTGTATTGTTGGGAGTCATTTTGAATTGCTATCTATGAAGCCTTTTGTTTTTCTACCATCTCACTGGTGAAACTACAAGTGAAAATTAGTTATATGATTTAGTTTACCAGTTTGTCTACTAGGTTCCATAATGGTTTGAATAATCCTATTTCAATGTACAGAAACCAGATATCTTCCCTTAAACTGACTAGTGATCTATCCTTTTATAGAAAATGTGATTGAAATTAAGAAAGTCATTTGATAAGCGCCAATAAATTCTTCAATATTCCTTGTGGAAGGTAAAGAAAGGATCTGAGTAATATATTGGTAGACCTTATGATAGGTAACTTAAACAATGGCAGAACTATTTAGGTCTAATTGCATGGTTATAAGCAGGAAGTCGATGAATTGCTAAAAGGAGTTTTGGCAAGTTGAGATCATAACATTTTGAGCAAGGTTTCCTAGTAAATTTCTTGCATGTTTACATGTGTCTGCTTTTTCATTCTTGTTTACTCTTGGAGTGATATTTATTCATCCAAGACTGAACTTCATGAGAGAGTTCTCTCATTGTTCACATAGCAAATGTATATTTGAGAGTTTTAGAGACAAACAGGATGCAAATGATGCTTCAAAATAGGAGGCGTAGAAACTTGGAGAAAACACAGGCTATAAAGCTTGGAGAGGGAGGGGCCATACCCGGTTAAACACTGTTATCTTTCCATGCTCAGCACAGTGCCTGGCATGTGCTGGGCCTGCAATACAGTTATTTATTTAATTTTGTGAACTAAAATTACAATTTTTATTCATACTAGAAACATAGTAGTTATTGTATTCTCTATTCCTCATGTGATGTCATCTGGTATATAATTGTGAGTATTTTATATGGGATTGGTTGATATTTGATAAAATCCAATACTTACGGAGATAGTCAAATAATTGTATGGCTATTGACCCAAATAAATCCTACTGTTCTATATATTTTTGTATTTTAAGAAGAAAAACTAGGAAATAAACAAAATTTGAGACTAATACCTGGTCACAAAGCCATTATATTTAGCCATGCAAATGCTTTAGGATTTTTATTTCCAACTTTTATATAAATTAAAGACAAAGTGTCAGTCTAAAAATTGTTTATGTGTGTAGTTAGAATTAATTTAAAAAGTTTTTCTAATTGCAGTAACCTATAACTGTGAAAGTACAGATTGCAGTGTAGCTTTTGCTCTTAGGTGATGTATTATTTACTTTGGTTCCAGGATAACCGAATATTCCATGAATGAATGTCAAAGAGTGATGTATGTCTCATTGATCACTCTTTTCTCCAGAATGAAGAATAAACATGTGGAAAGTCTAGATACTTTTTTGACAAACCTTTCAAGGTTGTAAATGTCATTAGCAGCCATTGTTTCTTACTTAAAAGCCAAAGAAGTAAATAATGAATTACTGATCTATTATATAGTCATATAGACATCTACTAATTGGATTTAGATTGTTAACCTATTTAAGTATTCACATGGATTTGATTTGTGACAATAATTATCCTTATATTAAATTGTATTTTCAAGGTAAAAGTTGTTTTAAACTGGAATATTAGTATAAAACTTTATGGAACACTTGGTTATGAAAAATGATTCATTAGGGTTTTAATTAATAAAATTGGGGATATAGAATCGATTGAAATTTCACAAAACATTGCTAGAAGCAGAAGTTATTGTAGGGAAGTAGTATCCCATATATTTGTCAGAAATAAAAAATACAGATTGTTCATGATGGTGGTGTGTAAAGTGGAAGGAAATTGATGAATATAAAAGATCTAATCCACTTAAAAAGGCCTCTATAATTATTTTCAGGTACTACTTTATACCTCTCTTCATCATCTCCAGGCTTTTCATATATATATGTAATATATATGCATTACATTATACATGCATATACGTGTAACTACATATATATGTGCAATCCCCATCACAGGGTATAGAGATAGTCTCATCATATCAACCTAAAATTAGAGGTCTCAAAAATATACTTGTGATGGATAGCAAGGAATATATTAAAAGTAAGTATTATAGTCTATTATTTTATAATTGATATACAAAATTTGCATTAAATTTGCTTTTGGATGAATTATAGCATATGTGGCCATTTTTATAAAATCAGACATTGTTATATTACTGCTGTAAATAAATCATGCAATGACTGCGACTTCAAAAGGAGGAATTAAGTTTTGTGGTTAGGATAAAAGTTGCTGTCAAGAATATCTCTTCTCTATAATTAGAAGAATGGTGATTTATCAGTTCTGCAAGTGGGAAATTATTGCATAATGTGTTGTGTACTGTTCAAAGAAAGATTTAAGATGCTTCTGAAATTGCATTTAGAAATGCTGGATATTTGAGTATGTAAATCTTCGTAGTTCTCAGGAGTTCTTGAAAGTGATTTCCCCTAATGATACCCAGTAACAGAAGCAGTTTAGTTGACAGAATACAGCCCACTGGGCACAATGACTGGAATACTTTATCCCTGGCAAAAATATCACAGAAAGCATTGGCCAAAATTGAGCTCTAGGAAAAAGTTTGAATTATTCTCAAAAAAAAAAAAAAAAAAAAACAGAAAACAAAACAAAACAAAACTAAGTCATCTTAAATCTGCTTGAATCTAATAAGATATTATGGATGTTAAAACCCAATGTATAACACAAGGTGAATAGTTCTTAAAATAAATTCTTTTGAAAAACATTTTAAAAAGTTTGAAGCTGGTTAACAGTTTTATTTAGATGATATTTTATTGCCAGACTGCATAACTCAGTAAATTTTATGTTACTTAATTGGTATGTACTTTCAGAAGGTCAGATGATAGCACTAAATAATTCTATGGACACAAAAATGTAGCCTTACTCTTTTTTTATCTTAGATCTGAAATTGGAAGAAAGTTGAAGGTAGGGTATGTGTTTATTTCTTCCAAGTGTATAAAAATTCCAGTTTTTAACAAGGAAACCCTGACAGATGACTTTTCTAAAATGAGGCCTCATGGTATCTGTACCACATATATAGAAGTTCAGCATACTTGTGTGTACTGATGTTCTTTGATGTCTGTTTGCTTAAGGAATTTTTAAAGATATCGAAGC